CATGATAATACCTCTTGTAGGTGGCTTTAGCTGATTCGTCGGACTGACGGATGGTGCTGGTATCTGGAACCTTTGGCAGTAGATTTCGCTCCAGTATCGGAAGTCTGGTCCAGAGTTCTCGTCCCTGTAGTGCCACAGACGGAGACACACCCGTAGCTGAATGCGCAGTTGCTCTATAGTTCAACAATCCAATCTCTGGATCATCCAGCTTCAGTAAGTGTTTAGCCGTCTGCACGGCACGTTCAGCCATCCCATTCTCTTGTGGTGTGTATGGGTTGGTCGTTTTGTGAGTGAATCCCCACGACTTAGCAAACAGACGGAATTCGTGAGAGGTATATTGCGGCCCATTATCCGATATTACTACCTCTGGGATACCGAAAGCCGTAAACATTGCTTTCATTCTTGTAATTACCGCAGAGCTGGTCAGACTTGTCAGCCTCTTCACTTCGATCCAACGAGAGTAATAGTCTACCACTACCAGAAATGTCTGCTTGTTGAATTCCAGTAGATCTGTCCCCAACTGCTGCCATGGCCGTCCCGGCAACTCTATTGGCTGCAGGGGTTGTTCTCGCTGTGATGGTCTGCTCTGTCGACACTCCACACATTGATCGACCATGTTTTTAATGTTGTTGCCCCCATATGGCTGTCCTGGCTCTTTCACGGCACTTCGAGATGCTTTGGTGTGATTCATGTAGTCGTTCTAAAGCATCCTGCCTCATTGCTCTAGGCAGAACTATTCTACTCTGTAGATCAACTATTCCATTTGTCACCGATAGCTCTGAGCGTACATGGTAATAGTGCCTCAAAGGTTCCGGCACCACGCTCACTCTATTTGGCCACCCGTTGATGACATAACGCATTACTGCATGCAGGACATCGGCCTTCTCTGTAGCCTCCCTGATCTGTTCTAATTTCTTAGGTGACGCTGGCCAACCTACTTGAACTGTGTCCACATAATCACTGACATCTTGGACCAGCTGTACACTATCCTCTGTGATAGCTAGAGGATTCCTGGATAGTGCATCTGCCACTATTTGTTCTTTACCCGGCACAAATTGAACAACAGGATTGAACCGCATCATTCGCAGCAAAAGACGCTGACAGCGAATCGGTGTTTCATCAATGTTCTTGGTGCTCAGTAGAGGCACCAATGGCTTGTGGTCGGTCAGTAGAGTAAACTGTGGTAATCCCACGAGATACCTAGACAGTTTTTCGCATGCCCATACTGCCGCCAGACATTCCTTCTCAATTTGAGCGTAACGCTGCTCAGCGCTTGAGAGTGTTCTTGAGCAGAATGCTACTGGTTTTAAGCCTTCTTCATATTTCGGTAGGAGTACGGCCCCTTTCCCGAAACTGCTAGCATCAGCACTTATGATCGTTGGCTTTTTCGCGTCATAGTATGCTAGTGTTGGAGAAGCGCATAGTAGCTGTTTGGTTTCTTGGAAGGCACCTTGCTGACCTGGCCCCCATAACCAGACACTGTCAGACCTCAGCAGATCTGTCATGGGCTTCATAACAGAAGACAGGTTGTTTGCAAACTTGCCTAGGTATTGGAACATTCCAATCAAGCTACGGAGTTCCCTGACATTGGAGGGTGGAGTCAGATCCATCATTGCCCGTACCTTCTCTGGGTCTGCCTTGATCCCTTCAGCACCGATGAGGTCACCAAAGTAAACCAATTCTTTCATCCTAAACTGGCATTTCTCTCGGTTTAAGCGAAGACCTGCTTCCTGAAGTCTCGTCAGAACTTCAGTTAGCCTCCTTTCATGCTCTTCCATGGATCGGCCATGAACCAAGATATCATCCATTATGACCGCTACTCCCTCCAAGCCATGAAGTAACTCGGTCATTTTTCGCTGGAAGATCTCTGGCGCCGAAGTAATACCGAAGGGAACGTGACAGAATGCATACCTCCCAAACGGCGTCATGAATGTTGTGAGCAGTTGGCTTTACTCATCCAAGGGGATCTGCCAACATCCACTTGCTGCATCCAGCTTGGTAAAGTACTTGGACTGAGCCAACTTAGGAGCGATGTCGCTTAGATTCAGAAGTGTATAATGTTCTCTGCGAACAGCCCTATTCAGTCTTTTTGGGTCAACACAAATGCGCAGTTTACCATTTTTCTTCTGAACCGGAACCATAGCTGCACACCATTCGGTGGGCTCAGTGACAGGACGGATCACACCAATATCCTGCATTCTCCGTATTTCTGTTTTCACCGCATCCATCAGGGGAAACGGAACTTTTTGTGCGGTGTTGACACACAGTGGTGTTACACCTGCTGTCAAACTTATCTTGACTGGTTCGGTCTTCAAGAGACCAATATCTGAGTTGAACTGACTCAAGATTTCATCTACATGGGTAACTAGGCCCATTTTCTTTGCCACTCCGTTGGCTAGCAGGCTGACTGGTCCTGTTCCATCTATCATGACTACACGAAATGTATAGACTTTCCCCTTGTGATTGATGACAGCTGTAAATGCACCTAGAACCTTGAGCTGGCCCCAGGACTGTTGAGCTTGATCTTGTTGTGCATCAGGTGTGGGCGACTTTTCAATGATCGCCAGATGGTGTGTGAAATTACTGTTACGTCAGCTCCCGTGTCTATTTTAAATTTTACAGTTGAGCCGCATATGTTCAGTGGTACATACCATGCTTCCTCCTCATGGCAATCAATTGTTCCAAGGATGTATGATTCCTCCCCCTCGGATGTATCCTGAGATGTCACTGCGTCTGTTGCCCCATTTAAATTTCCACCTCGGTGTTTACCACTGCGACACACCGAAGAGAAATGTTCATGCTTATTGCATGACCTATAGATCTGTCCACTAGCAGGGCATTTACCACCCCGTGGGTGACAGTCGTAACCACAACGGTTGCATTTCTGTTGTTTTGTGGCTGCTGACATCTTTCTTCCACTTTGGTCTATGCTCCCTTTGTTTGAACTTTGCCTCACTAACCTCCTGGTGGGAAGCTTGTTGCTGGACCATCTGTAATTTTACCTGTTCATGCTGGCGTGCCACTGCTGAAGCTTTATCTAGGGTCAAATCAGGCATCAGCTGCAGTCTTTGCTTCACTCCTCGGTCTAGGAGTCCCACGACAAACCTGTCACGTACTTTGTCTTCTGGATCCTTGTACTCGCAATTCTCCACCATTGCTTGAAGGTCCCTTAGAAATTCCTCCACTGTCTCCTCCCTACTTTGGATCCTCTCTTGAAAGAGTGATCTCTCGTGTATTATATTTCTTTTCGGGATGAAGTACTGTGTGAATTTCTTGACAACTGTGTCGTAATCAGTGTCCTTTTCCTCCTCTCTAATTGTGGCGCAAGGGTTTTCTGGGTCAGGCACATCATGCAAAACAAATTTCAACGTTTTGAATATTTTGTTGGCTTGTTTACCTCCCATACAGTAGATAAGTGAGTCTCTTTGTACTTCTCCGTCTTCTTTGTGAAGTTTAGTGGCTTTCCAAAATCGTCCGAATTCCTCTATCCACTCACTCCATTCTTCAGCTTTAAACGTAAACTTGGCAGGGGGGTCATATCGTGCCATTTCCTTGACAATGACTTGTGATTCCGGGGCCACTGGTATCAAACTGTAGACTCGCCCTTTAGACACAAACGTCCGCGTTGTTCTGTCAAGCAGCACTACAATGTGTACTTGAAACTGTTCTTGAAGTCACTTCTGACACCATGTCATGATTGTGTAAACCCAAACAAGAGATTTAACTTCATGTAGATTCGTTTTATTTAGGAAACGTAGCTGAGCAGAACACGAGATTACAAACCGCCATGCCGAACTCCTGTAGCTCCCCCTGGCTCTCAAATATCTAACTAAAGAATAGACAACTCTCCTACAGGGCGCTACCGTCATTAATCATTATGACACTATACTTTATTGGTTTATAATTATACTTTATTGCCCAGGTTATACTTTACGAAGTGGCTCATGCTCCAGTAACCGGACCACGAATCCGTCCTCTGGCAATCCCAGAATGCACGGCAAAGTCATGCAAAGAGCATTTCTCAGCACAATAGAATATGGCAGCACACGAACCTTGTATGTTTTTTGTTGGGCAAAAGTTTTCCTGTGTTTTTGGAGGTAACCGGTTCATTGCAAGAGGCACAGGGAAGTCGAATTTGAATTGTGATTGAGAAAGCATGACTTGACATTGAGCGAGACCATGACTTTGCAATGCATTCTGGGATTGCTGGAGCACAAACCAAAAGAACTCCAGGTCCAGTTACAGGAGTACGAGCCACTGCCTATACTTTATTTTCCTAGTCTATGGGTAATTTGGAACTTTCACGCCAAAAACCTACAATAACAAATATATGGCCGCTTCCCTCCAACTTTCTATTCTAATCTAGCTTAACTTGACTTAGTTTCCTTGGTGGGAGGTGCAAATAGGTATTAAAATGAAAAGGTACTTCTGGTATAAAGTAGAGTCTCTTTCAGTAGTCATAAGCGCTGCATGACAAGTCCTATTCTTCACGTAATATTTACGCCTTCATCAGCGATACTAAAACATGTCTGTTCGGCGCGATGGCGTTGCCTGTTTATGCATGCCATGTTGTTCGTGTGGAATGATATCGGAGTTGGTCCTTTGTAGTTTTATAACATATAGTGTATAGTGTATGGTCATGATAAACTGTGGGGCTCCACAACGACATGATTCATAGTACTACTTGTGGGATTCATTATAGGGTGTAGGCTATTCTATAGTAAGTTAGGCCATGGGCTGAGGTGGAAAAGTTAGTCTAGAAAACGAAAGTGAACAACAATCACTGTTGGCCCATGGCCTAAGTGGAAGAGTATTACGGTCAGACTAAATTCGGACTATGTTCAAAAAATGTGAAATACTATTTGAGAACAAATATATATATAGATATATAATATATAAGTAACTAAGTAGATTTTAAAGTTTGTCGTGCAGTTACCTCACATATACCTCACTAAGGTCTTTGATATAGACTGTTTCAAGTGTAGATTTTTTCTTTGCAGTCATCTACATTGTTCATGATGAATTTGTTGACTCTACAACTACAAGCAGCAGAGGGCGAGTAGTCGGATACATTATGGAGGGTGTAAGCTATTCTGAATTTTGTATGTTATATCACATTATTTTGTACCTGTAAGATCCTGTTTCACATGAATTGGTGTTTTAAACTCGAGCAGGTGATTCGTTTTGTCTCGTGTACAGATTGAATTGTGTTTCTACAAAATCAACCAGTATGGTGCTGCCTCAATTTTAAATTGAGTAGTATTGCACAAATAAATGCACAAAAGCCGTTTCTCAACATTGTGGACTATGCAGTTTTAAAGTGTATAATCGAGTTTCCGTTTTAGTGTTTCTTGATTCTGAATCCTTTAGCATCAAGCGTTCCATGTTGCAACCCATGGACTAGGTCCTTTGTATGGAAGACTCATGGCAGTGGAAGGATGTGTTTGTGGTGGGGGTCGGGAATTTTTACTATTTTCTTATTCTCATGACTATATTCACTTACCGCATCTATGTTCTCCATTTTGCAGACACCGACTACTGAACCAGAAGATGCCTTGCTCCTTCCCACTGCAGCAATTTGTGTCATTGCCATCGGTGGATATGTCTTCCTTATCGTCATATTTTTGCTCATCAGGCAGGTGCTTATGGTAGGCACAATTATATAGCATATAATTATAAGCAAATATAACATTACTGAGAAAGCTATATTCGTATATTCTTAACAAAATTAATGGTAATGCATTGTGTACAATAATTTGATATAATCAAGAGCATATAAAGAAGGAGAGTGTACAACGGTAAAATGCTGAAACCATGTTGCAGTATTAGTCGAATTAATAAACTTTCCCCGTTTTATTTTTACGATTCTTTGCAGTATTATTGATCAGCTGTCCTACCTTGTTCATATAAAACAAACCGCATGTCCCTACGATGCCCCTACGCTGAGATAATGAGCGGTGAAAATCTGGTATTTTCGCCAAAAACTGACTCGAGATCAGTCAGTTACTGTGACTGTCTCTCGAAGTGTTATAACTTCGGTAAACCTCACGTTTTTCCGTCAATGATTGACAAATGGAATGAATGACGTCTGTTATTGATTGCCATAGTGATGACCCCCACCTGTGCCCACCTCACGCCCACCTCACGCTGGATGTATAGTAAACTCTGGTAGTATGACGTGAGTCAGCGCCACTATGGCGCTACACAGCGGCGACCGGAAGCAACACACTGGCCACACTTCGAGAGTGGGTCGCAGTACTGACTAATGTCTAGTCGGTGTTCAGCGAAAATACCAGATTTTCATTGTTCATTATCTCAGCGTATGGACATCGTAGGGACATGCGGTTTGTTTTATATGAACAAGGTAGGACAGCTGATCAATAATACTGCAAAGAATCGTCAAAATAACACGGGGAAAGTTTATTAATTCGACTAATACTGCAACATGGTTTCAGCATTTTACCGTTGTACGCTCTCCTTCTTTATATGCTCTTGATATAATAAATCAACTGAAGTACTTGTTAGTAGTCGTCAAAGTAGAGTTGTTTTTGCTAAAGACCTGAGAATTTGTGTGCCCTGAGCAGAATTCAATACATTATTATACTTGTTAACCATTTAAACTATTATATTTTAGTCTCAAATTAAAAGTGCAGTACTTTATAGTAACATAATAAATGATCGTTTCAATTTCCGTTCACGGTCTTCATCTTATCTATAGTGACATGTAAAGATTTCATACCAGAAATATCTTTGCTTATTTTAACTTTGTATCTGAGTGTTGTTTTGTTGCGTGCAGGACCGAGGCATGTGCGGAGAGTGTAAGCACGTGTGCGGTAAGGAGGGTGAGCAGTGTGCTTGCTGCCAGTGTTGCATCACAACGCTGTCACAGTGCGACTGCAAATCACCAAATTGCGACATCTGCGTTGACTCCGTCTGTCCAAAACCGGTAAGAACAAGCGGTACTGTTATGCTACCATTTGAAAATGTTTGGTTTGCAGCAAACAATCCTTGCATTTTTTCGGTGTCGGCTGGTAGGCAGCCCAAGCAAAAACTCCTCCTTCATTGGCTGAAAAATAATATAGTCGTATATGTTCAAGAAGAATGCAGTGAATAACTTTGTAGTAGTAAAGTTTCGCTCATAGGGTCTATGTCCCCCAGGGTACTGCTGGAACGTACCCTGGGTACGGTCCGGTATACCGGAACGTACCCTGGTCACTATTTGATATGGTTAGGGTTAGGATTAGGGTTAGTGTTAGGGTTAGGGTTAGGGAGTAGGCGTAGGCAACTCCCTAGACTCGTTAGTGGAGTAGGCGAGGTACGGTCCGGCATATTAGATAGTACCAAGGTATGATCCGGCAGTACCCCAGGGGACATAGACCCTCTCAGCTAAAGTTTCAGCAGCAAGATAAGGTGAACAAGTATGTTGACCCCTTGTGGTGTTATCTTCTCCTGATTTCATCTTTACTACAGACCACTTCTAATATCTCTTCACTGGACACTTGCTGATGGTCTCTTGCAAACCTCTATTTATGTCAGGCTTTTCAGTTCATTCTGTGTACTTGGGAAAAAAAAGTACGTCGAGGTGTGATGAATGCCTCCGAAGACACCAATAATTCAAGCCAAAGTTAATAGTTTTTAAAGTTGCTCAAGTAGTGTAAAGCGTATAGCGTAGCTTTTCTGTAAGCTTATTTAATGAAGAGAGCCGACCAAATATGTTGTATTGAATAAATGGCGAGTATGTAAAACTGTTCACTATGTTCAAATGCCAGATATTCAAATGTGCTATCACACTCATGCTTTTATTTATAAGAGCAAATGATTAAGGCCCAAGTGACAGATGGGTAGTTTTGAGGCTATGTAATAAATCATTGCTGAACAAGCAGGGTGTTCATATTGTGAGGGGGTGAATAATGGAAGATCTGCCCTTATTCACCCCTGATCTTATGCCACTGTCTGTCGTCATACACGTCATCATTCTAGGTATGACAGCTTCCGATTAAGTGTTATCACCATGTTTCTACTTAAGTATATAAGAAAGTGAGATTTACATTAGGTATAGATAACACTTGTAAGGTATCTTATCGTGAAAACCCTGTAGAGGCTAATCTGTGTAGTTTTTAGCTCACCTTGACATCGTCAAGTTGAGCTATTGCTATGGGTCGTCGTCCGTCCGTCCGTCCGTCCGTCCGTCCGTCAACATTTGGTTTCGGTCAACGATAACTCAGGAACCGTTTGACCCACATGTTTGAAATTGGGTGTAGTTGTTACTGCTATGCTCCCATATGGAACGTCCTATTTTGAAGCACGCCAGTCGACGTCTTTCGAGCCACGGCAATTTTTTTGGGCAAAAATGGGAATTGCCATTAGTCAGTTCAGGTTCAACGGATTTTGCTGCATTTTTGGTATGTGAATGAATAAGGCCTAGGGTTTTGATATTTTAAAAAAAAATATGCAAATTAGGTAGGGTTTGGCAATTATATAGCATATTATATATAGACACAAACAGTCTGTGGTGTCACACTCGTCTGGTTCGTTTTACAGATTTCATTGACAATATCTTTAATGCAAAATTGGTATTTCCTCTCCACTCTGCCGATAAAACGTCTATATTAGAGTAAAGATTTACAAAACATGTCGGAACGCAGCATAACCTATTTATTTCAAACTCCATCGCTACAAAGCGGGTATAGCGCCATCTACCGTCACAAATTGTGATTCATTTTGGTTTATAAATTATTATTGCGATATACAGATGGCAATCATTTCTATAATGTACGTCGATGGTTGCTCAATTAAAACTGACTTCTTCTTACTCACTCATTTGTGTCTTTTTTTTTGTGGTGAGCTACAGTATCATTGACACTTTCATTTAGGAGCTACAATGGACATTATATGTAATGATTTATCATCTCATCCTAACCCTAATCCTAACCCTATTACCGAGTGCAGCTTATTGTTATTCTTCTAGCAGCGTGGATGTGCCTGTCCTGACTACACTTCTTTCCTGTCCTGCTCCTATCCTGAATGTCAGCGCAATGCAGAGCAGTTAAATCTAGGATCCCGTTGCTCCAACTGCATAGTATGTCTCCCATAGTTCCTCCGTTGCTATTATTTAGTGTATTCACTTTTCCATCATATTCTGTTTGGTCTGAAATGTGGCAGGCATAGGGTTATGTGATAGGTGTATAGGGTGTGTTTCTGCTACTATTGTAAGGTGCAAGTAAGTTTTAAGTATATAACTTTGTGCTGTATTCATTAATGTATGTTTAGTAAAATTCATAACACATGTAAATGTTTACGTGTACACAGGTTTTTTGTGTAATACAACGTAGTGGCACAATATTTTTGCAATATAACATTGATTGTAACATGGAATATACAACTGCAAGACATTGGTATGTGTTTACATACTGTTTTGGTTTTGTAGCAAAAGTGTGACTGCGGAAAGCTCGTTACCTGTGCATGGTGTGCACAAAAAGATTGCTGTGCAGGGGAGCCACTGTGCAATGTAAGTGTTTGTGTGATGGATGCTCTTGGATGTTCTCATAGACACAGTGTTAATTGACATCTGCTGTTTGATCACATCCATAGGTTGATTATTGGTATATGTGAGTGATTGAATGTACCAAAGGTCTAACATGCGTCAATATGTTATTATTCCAATATCTTTACATCTTGAAAGTTCAGTCGTATTTCTTTTTTAACATTAATAACATCATTGTTCATGGTTAATCCTTAAGGTAAATAATTTAAGGATTTAACCATGAACAATGATGTTATTAATATTCCAATATCTGGTTTCGGTGTTACGATGATGTTAGGGTGTTTAATTAGATTGTTTCTACGCTGTTGTTTGAGGCATATATAGGTACGACTCGTACCATCACATGAACACGTTACTGAGGACTTTATTTACCATCAAACCTGTGTCATTGTGAGTTTAACTGTATTTTTCTGGGTGAGTTTCCCTCAGCTGCATCATGGCTGCCAATGGTTTGCGATGCAAAACCCAATGGTCTCTACATTCCCGAACTGCGTGCCCCCGCATCACGGTGTCTGTGGAGTGTATGTATTCCCAGCCTGGGCTACGATGCATGCATTCAACGTTAGCTTCGTTAAGGAGCACTTAGCGCAGTTGCACTGAGCTCACTATCACACAGACTGACCAAACATCATTTCCCTAATCCTAGACAAATACACACGCAGTTGGTGGCACGTACAGAGGTCAGTGCTTAGATGCAAGTGTCTCCAGCATAAAACATAGATATTGCAGCTGCCCTTTAGGTTTTGATTATGATTGTGGGATATTAACTTTATGTACCGACTCGGCCAGTTTCGTTTTACCTTTGGTAGGCCCTACCTAGTTGGATTTAATTTTGGAATTTAATGCCATGATGCCTGCATCTGATGATCTGTTGCATCTATAGATCATGGCAAACAACCGATACACATTACAATATATAAACATAATTTCGAATAGCTGGTTAATTGGACTTGAGTGTAATGCATATATATATATATATATATATATATCACCCAGATATATATATATATATATATATATATGTAAAGTATCGAATTTCCAGACATAATTGAACACAACATTTATTCGTGTTTGGCATAAAACATGGGTCAGCCCAGAGAGGACTACTTTCAGTAAGCAGTGTACATACGCAGGTATATGCGTAGTGATGAGGCTACAAAGTAGTTCCGCATAATATTACATCCCCTTTCTTTTAAAAGAAAGATTGTACTTCAATCAGGAGTAAAAACTGAACTTTAAAGTCATTCGAAGTGTAGCGTTTCGCGTCTTCCGGCGACACCCGATGGCGCCACCGGTTGACACTTAGTGGCTGCACACAACCTTAGGTATTGCACTTACCTGCAGGGTCTCCAACCCGCACCCGGGGCCCCGTCCAGGGGCTTAATTTCCGCACTCCGCAGCGGCAAGGTTATATTCCTCATTTCTGTTGCACTGTATAAAATTTGCACTGATTGTTCGCATTGTTCGCTTGGACACATTGTTTTTTTTCAGCCGGTGCCTGGCACTGGCCACGCGCTTGTGCAGTATTGATGCAGCAAGTTATTAATAGCCGTCACAGCGCGAGTCGTTTCTTGGAAATGCACGCTCTGCCATTACCTTAGTTTTGCACCCCCCCCCCTACCATCGCTCAGTGTTATAATGTGTTTCTGTCTATGCATTTTGTATCTGGCATGTCTACAGTAAATGGAACAGCCTAGCCTAGTCAGACAGGCGCTGTCTGCAAGGTGTCACGTAGTTTGTCTGCTAATGAGATTAACACGTGGGGAGAATGGCGTGCAATTGCCATTGCCATTCAAAAAACCCGACTTTTACAGAAATTCAGGAACGAATATACACAGATGTGGCCTGTACTTGTGAAGTCAAAACTCAGTGTTAATCAGCGCTATTGCATGGTATGCAAGACAGACTTTCAAGTGGGGCTCGGAGGAAGGAGTGACTGCCAGAGGCATATAGTCTCTCAACAGCATAAGTGCTATGCGGGTGCAGTGGAATCTACACTCAATATATCAAGCTTCTTTGCAGCAGATAGAGAATTGTCTGTCTTGACGCAGAAGTGAGATTTACGGATTATTTAATTGAACACAATGTGCCTTTGAGGGCAGCAGACCATGCAAATGATCTCTTCAAGAAAATGTTTCCAGACTCACAAATAGCCAAAAAGTATGGTTGCAAAGATATACAAAAACACGTGAAATTGTGAGAAATTGCAATTCTTACCTGTGTTTTAAAGCGATCATTGCGAGTTGTTTTCAGCGTTTTTTAGTGTTTATTCTCACTCTCATAATGCCTACCGTTGTTGTTTGAGTAACAGTAATTGTTTGAAATAACAATAAAATGTCTTAGAACCGCATGCAAAGACAAAATCATGCACGATTACAATTTTGTGTTCTCTTGTTGATTTTCGCTGTCATGTCACGCACTTTCTCGCGGTACCGCGAGACGTCAACAAGGGTACAGTAATGCAAAAATCGCACCGGAGATATTTTTGGTCAGATGTAAACACAGAGGTGCATAGTAGCGTAACACAAACAAGAGTGTAAGTTGTAACCTCATAAATATTAGTCTTCAAAAGTCCTAGGGACTATAACGAAGACGGAGAGAGAAATGGATCAAATCCTCGTTGCGTACCGCCAGCGAGAATACTTATCACACACAAATAGATGCCCCTTTGTTTTAATTATGTTCGCTTGTTTGAGATGCCATTTGTGATTTTTGAAAGTAGTGACTCGAAAAAATGTATTGCTGGTATGATGTGGTCAAATCAATTTTTCTATGCTATAACTGCATAAAATATTGGTGTTTTGAATGTTGGTGTAATCAGTGATATTTTCGCTGTCAGGTGAGACTATATTCAGCTATATTTAGTTTTTTTTAGCAAAATTCTCGCAATGATCGTTTTAATACATGTATTATTGCTATAGCAACCTAACTGTGTATGCTCTCTGAAAAGTCATGAAAAGTGTTTTGAATCCTAACTTGTAGGGTTGAGTCTAGGGTTGAGATAGTGTCATCAGACATGAGAATATGGCCCACAGTATGCCTCAGATTGCAGGAAAATGGCTTAATGTTTCAAAATTTTCTGGGGGGGATGCCCCCAGACCTCCCCCCCTACCACTGGCATGCCTACGGCACGCGGGCCTGCCTGCAGCAGCCAAGGTTAATTTCGCCCCCCCCCCGTCCATCAATCTCATTCCACATTTGGAGTTCACAGGGTTGGAGACCCTGCACCTGTTGTGCCCGGAGACGTTGAAACTGGCCGTATCGTCGCCTCCCTGACGCCGCTAGCCACTCGAGCGCTTCAAGGCTACTGCGCTTCCGCAATAACCCGTTCTGCCGTGTTCCGGTTTGGTGCGTCGTAGAGTTAGTCAATCATGCCAGACGAGGGGCGACACACACCTCAGACACCACACCGGGGTAACCCCACCCCTGCCTGCCGGCCTTATACGATACGTTGAATAACAAGTGCACACCCCGGGTAAGCACAGAGGTTAAACAAATAGAATAAACTATGAACGCAGCCGGACCAAGGCCTACAGTGACCAGCGGCCTCTCCTCCCGTACAGCCGTGCACGAGAGTTAATACTTCGTAATACCCGTACTCTAGTCTAGGAATATTAAACCAACATATTTAATATTCGACTACTACTAGTACTGTATTATTTACTCACCCCACAACGACGGGACAATACGACAGCACCTACTCACCAATTAACCGACGCGCCTGTCTCTCTCACCCATGAGGCAAGGCACACGCCAAACACCCGTGACCATGATACAGTACCTCGGGTACTCGTATGCTAACTGTCACCATACCCGCCACACACACTGCTCACAGGTCACTCCACAGCATGCATACACACGGAGTGGACGTGGCTACTACCTGATGAGTCCTCCCTCACTCGGCTACCTGGACAAACTGCCACACAAGTCCTCCCTCAACCGATTCCCGCGCAGAACTGCCTACCGTGTGTCCACACGGCACTGGCCTAGCTGTTCACACGGCCCTCGCCTCTCAAGGCCGCTAAAGGGGGTGGCTAACCCAACATGGCTGCCCCCATGCAGGGACTCGACTATCTACATCGTTAATTGATGAGCCGGCTAAACACCACGAAAAACGCACACTAATAAACAGCACACATCACAAATAATTATACAATCACAAACACGGATCACCCACACTCCGGTTCCCAGGGAGCCACCCTGCTAGGAACCCGAGGATCCGGTGCCACCACTACAGAAGTATGCTATCCGAGTAGTAACCAACATGACGTTAATGTTAATGCTGCTATAGAGTACCGAAGTGTGACGTCATGGTGGCATGACAACGAACCCACTGGTACTAAACAACCCACTGGCTCCATAACATTAACTGCATGAAAATGTTGTGCGTACGTAAAACACGAGTGTGTGCGCTGCAGACAGCGGTAAAGCATCGGTATCAAGTCGATCTTACAATATTTAATTTTTGGCAAGTAGTATTCATTGGCAATTTCTAATAATTTATTATTGCAAAATAATGAAAATATATAAAATAAGATAACATTTCAATATTTTGGGAATCGAATCGAAGGAATCGAATCGAGAGGCTAATATAGAGAACCGGATCGAATCGAGAGGCTTGTGTATCGTTACAGCCAGAGTCCTGCTTGGACATTTTCCACGTTAACTGTCAATAGTCACGATTACTTCTGCAGTCCAACAATGACATGACTGTCACAAAAACTGAACGTTACAGTAGTTAAACCGAATATCCAACCGAATTAATTAAACCAAATATCAAAGTTGTACAACACGTATGCACTGTAACATATGTTTTACACGTGTGACATGGCTAGCTAGACAGAGCGTCATTGCTACATTGATGTATTAGAGTGAATGGTAAACGTGGTTAGGTTACAGATTAGAGGGTCACTGTTAAATTGGGGTAGGACGTAGTCTGTGAGAACGGGTACATGTGCGGGCAG